AACACAGATAGCCCTTTGTGTAGCTTTCTGCTTAACTACAAACAAACAAACAAAAAAAGTCAGTCACTACGATAAAATATGTATAAACATATTACGTTTGTATGCCCGTTTGTTTCTGTTGCTATTGCTAATCACTAAGCTATATAGTGGGATATTTATTCTGTGCTCACAATGGGTATCAAATCAAGATTTTTTGTTGTCTCAGACTTACGTGTGAGCCACTGGGGTGCTATATATAGATAGACGTTTACACATCAAACAAACTCAAACAATCATTGATTGTTAGTCAGATCAAATGACAGGGATACTTGGAAGTAAAAAATACATGTCAATGCTGAATGAAGGTTCTACTCTAACCTATACCAACGGTCACTTGTCCGGAATAAGAACGAAATCCTTATTGTTGTAATACAAATTGTGAACATCACAAGACGGTCATCCAAATTAAACTCAGTGTGCGATAAGTTATAACTGATTCCCTCTTTAATTTGACAGACAATTTAGAAAACATCCTTATAAAAGTTTGTACAATGTGATATTGCGTGTTTAACTGGTATTGTATTGATTCGAAACTTTTAATATATTGTTCTATATTAATACTGCTTCGCTAACGATAATTTTACTTCTTATATTTTACATTCTTACTTATGTTCCTTGAAACCCAAAGTCTGCTCATAAAATCTTTAGGAATCATTTTGATTCTCGTTTCACAAAATGTTTACTTAAGACCCCCAGAGGTTCAGCGGTAAGTCTCATAGCTTATAGAGTTAAAAAATCAGGTTTCAATACCTGTGGTGGGCACAGCGTAGATAGCCCATTGTGTAGCTTTGTACTTAACAGCAAATAAACAAACAAAATTAAAACTTAACCTCTTTCAGATAAGAAACTAATTTTTTGCGTATTGATCACAGCTGTAGAATCGAAGAAAGACTCTTTCGTTTCTTTTTTGTTACCAAGCACAAAGCCATACAATGACCTATCTATCCTGTGTCCTTCACGAGTATCAAAACCCAAGCAACTAGAAAGCATCAAAGATAGGGAAAAGAGCAACTATATAAGAAGAATTGCAGGTTATTTTAAACGATATCTTTATCATTCTGATAGGGGGTATAATATTGAAACCTACAAATGAGAAACAGGAGAAAACATTGTCTTATAAAAATAAATATGAAATTAGTTATAAACAAATAAACACATTTTCAAAGAAGTCAATGAAAATAAATAATAACACATTTAAACTACTTTCAAAACTAATAAAACATAATATGAATAAATCAATTTCAGGGACGGATGAAGAAAGAGGACTCATCAAATGGAGAGAACAAGGCCTTGAACATAATATATCTGAAGGTGATGAGTCGACACTTTCGTCACCTTCAACCTATGACCTCCCGTTCGGCATGGACGTAATTAAAAGACATAAGATTTTCAAGTACATTCCTATCAGTCCAACATACGACCAGAATATATTTCTTGGTAAATTAAGAGCATTATTTAACAGACTTAAACCTCAAAAGAATAATAATCATAACATCGACTCTCAAAATTAAGATCGCCTTTTTTATTTACAACGATTAACAGAAAAGTAAATATAAATGTATGGTTGGTTTGATATAATAAGACCAGGTTATTTTAATACCTTTTTTTATATTAGAATCTTCATAATTTGCAAATTCCTATTCCTATATCTTAGCTAATGCTACTGGAAAAATGTGCGTAAACGGAAGTATTAGAATCGTGTTTCTACAGAAATAGATCTAAATCAAGTTATTGTACAACCTGCAGCGTGGTAGTTTCCGTTAAGTTCATGTATAATTGAAACAAAATACATAAAATAAGAATTTGTAATTTTCGTCACCTCTTGTCCAGTTTAGGTGCACAAGTACTTTAGACAAACAATACTCGACAAAATGTGTTGAAACCTTCAGTTGTTATAATTTATAAGAAAAATCGTTGTTGGACTGCGACTGAAAATATTAAAGTTTAGAATAGTCAAGTATTGTACTTAATGATTTATTTAATAAAGTTTCAAGCTTCTCTGAACATTTTCCATATCCTAAGTTTGTTATTAATTAATAGATAGAACTGCGAAACGAAACGCTATAATTACTAACCTGGTAAAGATCTTCTACCGAATAAAGATACTTTAATTTTACCTTTATTAGTACCACACTAGTAAGATTCATTACAATTATTGTTATGTGCTTTAGTGTGTAATAACTTTTATAGTACTTACGAATTCATATTATAAACAATAAAGAAGATAGATGTGGTTCATGTTATTAGCTATACGACTACTGCCGTTAACACACGAAGATTTGGTATTAAACATCTAGAGTGCTTTCGTTTAGTGCTTCTGGTCAGTAATAATCAAAAATAAGAACTATAAAAGTGAAGAAAAATACAATTTTAAATGTAATTCTTTCAATAGATTTAACTTTTGCAAACATAAACTATTTTAGAATATTTAATTTCAGTAGAGAATGATGTCGTTGATATAACATTTCGTCTTTGAGGCCCCCCGGTGGCACAGCGGTATGTCTGTGGACTTACAATGCTAGAAACCGGGTTTCGATACCCGTGGTGGGCAGAGCACAGATAGCCCATTGTGTAGCTTTGTGCTTAACTTCAAAACAAAACAATCGTCTTTAAGACATATTGAGGCCTCAACGATCATGACTCTATTAATAAAAATTTCAAAACTTCTTAAACATCAATGTATTGTTTCTAAAAACATCAATAATAGACCGAATTTACAATTATACCATTTCAATTAATCCACAGGTTTTATAAGACAATAATTCCTCTGAAGTACTGAATCATGTAATTTTATTTTACTAATCCTAAAGTAAATGATCAACATATCTTTTTCACAACACTATTGTGTCACACTAAAACAAAACATTTACACGAAGGGACTGCAAGTAAACAAAGACTATGATTTTAAAGCAACTAACAAATTTCAAATACATCTCAAAATGCATTTGATGTATGAAGTATATACTTTCAGTGCAAAGGTTAACACTGAAAATGTTTTCTTTATAAACAATTAAATAATCACAAACATTGCAATGATGTTTTTCATAAATCACCAGCTAGCAAGAGAGGTTTATCAAAGTATTCAAGATTTTATTAAAAGGAAGTTCCATTCTAAAACATTGAAAATATGGAGAAATACTACTGTAACGTTAGTTATATACTGTTATAGCGGACTAATAAAAAACTCTAAAATACGGTCACAAATAATGAAATTAAGGTTAATAAAGACAACATATTCCTCAAAAGATATCTGAAAATAAAAGCCAAGATACTTCTTTGCCCCTAATCCTTTAAATTGAGGAGCAAGAAATCAAACTGCATTACACATTACACAAACTGATAAAAAACCGATGTCTTATTTTCAAGTGCCATTGATATTTTGTATCACATTTGTGTCATAACAGTATTTATATCTTTACAAACTGTATTGTGAATTATCTTTGAGTATTACGAAAGAAAATAACACCAAATTTCATTGACCTGTTTTGAATTCCTACCCGTCGATGTTGGAGGAAGGAGATACAACAACAACAAAATGGATATCGTAACATCTCATTTTTTAAAACAAAAAATATATTATAAATACGTATATAATGAAATATTTATCGAACATTTATTGGAGGGACCAGATAATGATTTTCACAAGATTATGTATTTCATAAAGTGCCACGGTAAAACAAATACACCATAGTAAATTTACGCATTTTTTGTAGTTTGGTCTCTAGATATATAACTAAATACACGTGTTTATCTAATCACAGCGAGAAGACTCAACTTACTTAAAATGACGTATAAAAAGATTTTTATTCATTTTTTACAAAAACACTTCTTACAGATATCCTGGATAATTAATTGTTTCTGATTCACTCAGATGTCAAGAAAGACATTCCTCGAAACAATGAAAAAGATCCGTCTATAACAGACCAAACAGGAAACCGTGAATCCAACACAGATAACCCATTAAATGCAACGCTTCATATAGAGTGACGTTTCCAATATTTACAGTAAACAGAGTGAATGTAATTAATTACACTGAAAAATTATCTGTATTTTTTAACGGTCTAGATACACACATTGGCAAGTGTAAATTTTGTTGGCTTCATATGGTAAAAATGTACCTGACGGATAACTGATACCTTAGTTAATAATAATAAAAATAAAATTATCTAAATTATTGGTCGAAAAAGGAGGTTGATTTTTCAAACGTGATGCAATATGCAAGATTCTTACCTTCCGTATTTTCAATAACGAGAATTTTAAAACGGTAAATTTACACGGTAATTTTTTATCAATCTTAACCGAGTAATATAACACCGACATTCTTCTATTGTTTATACTTAATATTGAAATGTTTAAGGAATCGGGATGTAGGTATTACGGTCAACACCGTCTCTTTGTTAGTTGTTCATACGATAACTTGAGACTGATTAATATTGCAATCACCAAACCCGGTCCATAGCATATATCTTGCTTAAGGAATACTTGCGAGGTCAAAATATCATAAAATAAGGTCAGGTGTCAATATGTCAAATCACATGTTCGCCCTTATTTTCTAAACTGCTGTAACTAGGCATGTATAGTTTTGTAATAATGTTCCAGCCTAACTACACTACCTAAAGTGTGACTCATCATCTCGATTAGCTACAGTTAAACAGAGAAATATATTCAAAATTCTACTTTATATGCAACACTAAATATTTAAAATTAACAGTTTTAAACATTTAAAACCACATAAGGAACGAAAGTAATAATAATAATAATGACAAAATCACATTAGACTGTACATTTCTCTTTCACATTCGTCTTAATTAGCTCATTACGTGTTTAGAATTAGACGCGTGTAAAAACAATATTTTAAATAGTGCAGACAAAATGTAGATTTAAAATTAAATCTTTAAACTTCACCAAAACAAAAACTTATTTCCAAGTTAAAGAAATCATAACTGTGCAGTCTTTGACTTAACAATTAATTTAGTGCTAACACTATAAATTGGAATAAATTCTGGATTCAATTCTGGATTCTATTTTTATCTTGCTTAATTTGATATTTCTTTTTAGTAGCGAGTTTGTAATTTTGCCTCAAATATGCTTAAGTTATCTTGGGCAGTTTTACACGTAATTACAGGTCTAACAAATGAGTGTTTTTTCTTGTATATAAACTATTAATAACGAACGTTCCATTTTGAGAGAGATGGTTTCGTCACTTCCGGTGATTATACGTTTTCTAGCTCCTCCTTCCTCGTTACGATCCAAGAACGCAGTACATGGAACATGTACATCAAGTTCTCTGTATTAGCAGTTCAGTTAACCGGTGTACTAAGATTGGTAGGTAAATTTGTACACAATTCCATAGTTGAGAACTATATATCCCATCAAAATCTGTATCTGTTAATTTTAGAATTGTTCATAAACTCTTCCGTCATCATGGAGCAGGGTAATACAGCTTTCGAAGTTGAGGTAAGTTTAGAAAGTTTTATTTATTTATACGACAAGACACTTGTGGTAAACCGTTACTTTATGTGGGTTGTAGAACGTTGTAAGCCTGTTAACGAACGCGTCTTACCTATGAAATCTTATTCGGTCTATATTCCTCGCATGAACAAATGAAATCGTTACAAATAATTTAAATGTTCATTCGACTTTAGTTGTTCTTAATTTGGAAAGAGTAGCGTAACATTCTTGAAACGTCACGTGAATCTTTTAAAGTAATACTGGATGTTTTTAAGCATCGATTAAGTATTCAAAAACACGAAAAAACGTTAGGAATTATTTACCAAAATATTTCGTTTGACGTAAGTATTATACTTTCAAGTTTCACTAAAGATTTTATTAACAATTGAATTCAAAACGATACTTCGCTATCTGTACTAAGAACACTTCTATATTTCGTTGAAATCAAACTTAGTGTTTTAAAATGTTATTTATCTTTTGTGCTGCATGTATTTTTTGTATATATATATAGGATTTTACATGGAAACCTACATTACTGAACTAACCTTAGGACCATATCAAAAGCAAGATCTTTATATGAAAAATTTGATTTACTTGATGACCAAGCTTATACAGAAAGTGGAAGGTCCAGATATTGTCAGAACTTTGTCAAGAATTTACAACATCTTACAAAGTGTATTTGAACTGTAGTTTCTTAGAAAATTAAGTTGAGTTTCTCGAATGATCGGGGAGTCCGAGATGCCCTCTTCGTTGGTATATAAGCCTGGCAGGCAAAGCCAGCAAAAAAAAGAATAATAATAATAAAGAGAGAGCAGTAGTTACTTTGAGTTCCGAGTAATTTATGATTCTGTTAGTTTTGAGCTAGTGAGCCGTAAAGTGTGTGTTTTGCACTCGTCGAGAGCGAATTTATCGAGATTGTGAATCGCTGTGATAGCGTGTATTATAAAAGTTGTTAATTTTAAAGTGATGAGAAACGTACTGATTGTGGAACTTCTGTGAATTAGAAGTTTGTATCGTGAAAGAATAAACTAGTTTAATCAAGAAAGGACTTATATCGCTGAAGTTCATCGGAAAGAATAAAACAAACTTCTAGATAAAATCTAAGAAATGTCAGCTGTGGTATAATATCCTATTTTTGAGTGAAAAACGGCTACGGTTTAGAGAGAAATACAGGGAGTAGTAAAAAGATCAATATAAAAGCAGTTATTCAGATATTAATATTATAAATTTCCAAATAAGTATTCTCTTCAATTTTCACAACCATTTCCAAAAAAAAAGAGTTTGAACAACGAATGTTGACAAGAGCATTTGGAAGCAGGAAAATGGCAAGATAGGCTGAAATAGTTTCTTTTCCTCAAAGCTTTCCGAATGATATATATTTACCATGCTTTGTCGCCTAAAACCTACCGTTTAACCCCAGTCCACTCAAAAAA